TCGTTGTTGATACAAGCAGTCACAACCTGGGCGATCAAGGATGTATGCAAGTTAGGAGTCTGTCGGTAATTCTTTTAACCTTCAGTTAATATAGTGTACAGGTTTCTGAGCCCATTGAGCCGCTACACATAAGGGACAACTGGCCGACCCCTCACTGTGTTCAAGAGAACTTGACAAACACCTCCAAAGGATACCTGATCAACCAGGCTGTGACTCATACGTCAGGCTGCGAGCAGCCGCGTCCAACAGCCTGGTTGATCAGTCCAGCAACCAGGAGGCCTGGTCGACGACCGGGCCGCGGGGACGCTAAGCCCCGGAAGCTCCTCAAGGTAACCTCAAGGTAAGGTCCCATAGCGCAGTAGTCTACCTCCTCGGCTCACAACTGACAATCCCGGATTCGATCCTCGGGCGGGCCATTTCCTTTTAGCTAATGCATCTCTTCACGACCATTACATATGTACCCCGGGAGTTAGGCAACTGTTGTGGGCTGCATCATAGGGAAGATCAGTAACTGGTCTATGGAAGGTGTAGAGGGGTTGGATCTGGATACGCCTACCAGGCTTTCTATTCCCGACAATGGGAAGATAATACGATTTATTTTGGTGTTCACAGGTGGGTACAGGAGAAGACGACTTGTGACTCCTGTTAGCAGGGCGAGAGCTTTCTCTTCCCGTAGCTCACTCCAACCACTTGGGCTGGACGGTAGAGCGACGGTCTCGCTTCATGCAGGTCGGCGTTCAATCCCCGACTGTCCACAAGTGGTTGGGGCACCATTCCTTCCCCCCCCCCCCCCGTCCCATCCCAAATCCTTATCCTGACCCCTTCCAACTGCTATATAGTCGTAATGGCTTGGCGCTTTCTCCCCACCCCGATAATTTCATTCATTCCCGTAGCTCACGGTGAGCCTCACCTGCTACTCTTCTCCCTGGAACACCACCCACCAGTGACTTAAGGCACCCAGTTACTGCTGGGTGAACAGGGGCGGACAACTGGCGCGTATTCAATATCCTCCCTCGCCAGGAGTCGAACCCAGACAAATCGATCGTGAGATAAGGGGGCAAATGTGTTGCCACTGCGCCATCAGGGACATTGAAGTTATGTATATTGAGTCTGCCAAGAAATGGGAGGTTGAGATCTAGCTCTTTGGCCCGCGTTTCCTAGCTATTTGTACCTTACATCACCACCATCACTCGCCTCAAAAGCTACAACCTTCCGAATTCAATCATTTTCAACCTGATTCTGAACTTTAACAATTTTTGCAGCCACATTAAACTTGTAAACAGATTACCCTTACGCTCTGCGTAATTAAGAGTGGCTCTATATAATATACAATTTTGTTTACCTAATTAACCACTGTACCATGTGCCTATCTATATTTATATATAAATTATTATTATTATTATTAAAGAAGGTCTTCCCTGCTACAGAGATACCAGAGAAGGCGCAGGAGGAGCCGCAGAGACGGTTTGGTGACCGTATTAACTCCCTTCGTCGACGACGGCTGATCCGTCAGGCCTCGACCTCCTCCAGGCTTCCTGTTGACGAACCCTTCCCTGTGCAGGTGTGTACCTGGCCCCTTCCCTGTGCAGGTGTGTACTTGGCCCCTTCCCTATGCAGGTGTGTACTTGGCCCCTTCCTTATGCAGGTGTGTACCTTACCCCTTCCCTGTGCAGGTGTGTACCTTACCCCTTCCCTGTGCAGGTGTGTACTTGGCCCCTTCCTTATGCAGGTGTGTACCTTACCCCTTCCCTGTGCAGGTGTGTACCTTACCCCTTCCCTGTGCAGGTGTGTACCTTACCCCTTCCCTGTGCAGGTGTGTACTTGACCCCTTCCTTATGCAGGTGTGTACCTTACCCCTTCCTTGTACAGGTGTGTACTTTGTTCTCTTCCCTTCCAAAGACAATATTATCCATGAGAGTTCCTCTTTATTTCTTCTGCTGTTTATGTGACTAACGCGGAGACTTGCCCGTCAGTTGGACGCGGAGTTCCTGTCGCTGGTGGAGAGGTCTGAGCGGAGGAGACGGTCGTTGGACGGGTCCCAGGTCCACCACCACAACCACCTGCACCACGACAAGTCCTGCACCATCCTCGGCGTCAAGTACAACCTCGGAGAGGTCATAGGTAAGGTCCTCCTCCTCCACCAGGCGGGGCCTCCAGGCCAACTTGTCAGTGGAGAACCTTTTTCGGGAATTATTTGTGAATATCCTTTGAAAATTTCGGGTATTTAAAAGAGATCAGAATTATCGGGAATTATAATTTGATCAAATAAACATTTTAGGCACGTACAGGCTAAGTGGCATAATTATTTGTGTTGGGATAACACATCATCATGCGGGTCTATAATCAATATGTAGGCCTATATAACAGTCCTCATTTCCTGTGTTATTTCGCCAGGAAATCATATTTTCCAAATTTTATCATAATTCAACTATAAGAACGCCAACCTTTTATTATTGAAGAAATAATTGATCTAGAAAAGCTTTGTCAGCACCTCCGCTCCTGACAATTTATTCAAAGCTTTCAAACAAACTGTAATATCTTATAAGAATATACATACTCATACTCATCCTGTGAGCGGTAGTTCAAAATGGATTACAGAGAGCACAGGTCTTTATCAGACCTCTACTGAGATTATTACATTAACAATTTCATCAATCCTTCACCCCTTATAATTACAATGTCACCTAGTTATAGAGAATGCTCTATTTCAAGAGCTATATATTTACAGTAAATCATTATACACTAATGATAGGTCTTATCACTAATACATGAGTGTGGAGAGAGTATAATGATAGGTGTGGTGTCCCCAGGTGTGGCCTCAGATGTGTGTATGGAGTGTCGGTGCGCGGCGGGCAAGATGTTCTGCTCTCCCAAGTGTTGCTTCCTGCCCTCGCCCCTCCACCTCACCGAGAGACACCAGCTAGCCTTCGCCAGGAGGCAGCCAGACCCCTCCCGGCCTCATCCGTTGTCGTACGTCAGGAACCAGTACGAGGAGGACGACGTACTCTCCTGGCTCTGATCCCTCCTGCCAGCGAGACTCTCCTCAGCCCTATCTTGCGTCTCTTTACAAAGATGACACACACACACACACACTAGCGTTAGTGCCAAGAGAAGGTGCGTCTGGCGGTGCATCGAGACGTCCAGTGTCAGCGGAGGGCTGCCCGACGCCTCGCCTCCCGCCACGGACCTCAACCAACCTCACATACGTCGACGGAGGAACTCTTTCACTCACAGTTTGCTTGGCGGGAGTAATGGGACGATTGTTGCTGCTTTCTCAGCTGCACGTGACGTGTGGAGCACGTGACGTGTGGAGCATGTGACGTGTGGAGCACGTGACGTGTGGAGCATGTGACGTGTGGAGCACGTGACGTGTGGAGCATGTGACGTGTGGAGCATGTGACGTGTGGAGCATGTGACGTGTGGAGCATGTGACGTGTGGAGCACGTGACGTGTGGAGCATGTGACGTGTGGAGCATGTGACGTGTGGAGCATGTGACGTGTGGAGCATGTGACGTGTGGAGCACGTGACGTGTGGAGCATGTGACGTGTGGAGCACGTGACGTGTGGAGCATGTGACGTGTGGAGCATGTGACGTGTGGAGCACGTGACGTGTGGAGCATGTGACGTGTGGAGCACGTGACGTGTGGAGCATGTGACGTGTGGAGCACGTGACGTGTGGAGCATGTGACGTGTGGAGCACGTGACGTGTGGAGCACGTGACGTGTGGAGCACGTGACGTGTGGAGCACGTGACGTGTGGAGCATGTGACGTGTGGAGCACGTGACGTGTGGAGCATGTGACGTGTGGAGCACGTGACGTGTGGAGCACGTGACGTGTGGAGCACGTGACGTGTGGAGCACGTGACGTGTGGAGCATGTGACGTGTGGAGCATGTGACGTGTGGAGCACGTGACGTGTGGAGCATGTGACGTGTGGAGCACGTGACGTGTGGAGCATGTGACGTGTGGAGCACGTGACGTGTGGAGCACGTGACGTGTGGAGCACGTGACGTGTGGAGCACGTGACGTGTGGAGCACGTGACGTGTGGAGCACGTGACGTGTGGAGCACGTGACGTGTGGAGCACGTGACGTGTGGAGCATGTGACGTGTGGAGCACGTGACGTGTGGAGCACGTGACGTGTGGAGCATGTGACGTGTGGAGCATGTGACGTGTGCAGCCAGTAACAACAGCAGTAACACCATATTAACTCTCCGTGTGCTACTTGAGCAACATTGCAACTATACTTACAACAATTAATTCAGATCAATATAACCTCATTTGCAGAAGCTTCTCTAATGTTAACACTCATGTATAGTCGAGATATTTATAAGAAAGAGATACACAACTGTGCCATTACCTTCTGTGAACTCGAGTAGTTAGCGATATGTTTAAAAGTTTGTTAATACACACTAAACTATGTGAGGATCGCTGATGGATCCTCACATATATTCTGACATAGATCCGCTGTGGATCAGTGAGGATACACGAGGTCTCCTCTGAGTACTCATTATTTTCTTCTCCTAGGCTATGGGTCCCAACACTTGCACCAGAGGTGGTACCCCTTTTAGGTATGAAAATTTATATATATATATATATATATATATATATATATATATATATATATATATATATATATATATATATATATATATATAAGTTACACGAAGATAATTCTGCACATCAGCTAATTATAGGGTTTACAATCAATAACAATAACCTGCCTCACCTTAATTTACTTATGTTCATATAGCTTAATCAACCATAGTGTAGGGAACATGATGCTAATTAAGTAACAACATGTAGACCTATGCTATACCTGTTTGAGCTGAAGCCCAAGGTATAATACGTGTCAAGAGGTCACAGTAACTGACTGTAACAAATAACTCGACGCATACGCTTGTGAAAGTTAAGGGAGAAAGTTTTCCTGAGTTTTCCTGGGCCCTTATCAAGTAGCTACTACAACTTGATAAGGGTCCAGGGGTGGGGCCAAACTTTGCCAGGTTCCTCTTAGGTGTGCGCGTTGGGTTATTTACATAATGTTCATTTTGTAGCACGGAATAGTTCACGTAGCTACGTACGTCTGGTGAAGGCATTATTCGAGGCAACTCAATGTAGGGCAGGTTAGGTTACCAAGATAGTATGAAGTGCAAATTAAAAAATCCTGGCATATCACCTTTACATGGACATATAGCTGTTATTGCTTAAGTTCCAAATTTCCTCCATTAACTACGCCAACGTGAACTTCTACAAACGAAAATAAAAACTTGTCTGACACACATACATAGGTGTCTACACTGGTGGGAGTGACTGTGGTTTCTCTAATGTCCGCAGTGACCCGTGTACCAACACTTCAGTATAACTCAATAAAAACCTGTAGTTTGACAGTATAACTGAGTGTGGATCCTTCCTGCTATGGTTCCTGAAGCAGCAGCCATCTTCTCCTTTCCTTCCCCCCCCCAATCTCTCCCTCCCTGTCCTCCCCAAGCTTAGGGAGGCGCGTCTTCCTTAACACCAACAACACAAGAATTAACACAGTACGTCCAGAACAAACATTAGGATTGTGACTGAAATGTAATGTTTATATTTACTTAATTATACCAAAGAAACTGATCGTACGGCCTTTGATTCTCCCTCCATCTTGACTTGGTTACAGCGACAACTTGTGCTTGGACTAAAGTTTATCTTGCATTTAGAGATCGATGTTAATTTAAGACAGAAAACACAGCACAAACTGGGAACCTGGTGATATTAAGCATATTAAGCATGGGGCACATGTAAACGTGGGCTCTCTGGAAGAACTTATAGAATATGATCACTCAAGAAAATGTAGAAATATTTTAAATACAGGAAAATGTCTTTCAAGAGGTTGCAAATTTGTCCACCCAAAACTGTGTACGAGTAACTGGCCTACACACCAGGGATTGTTTTTCGGCAAGATGAGAGAGAACGAATGTGTAAAAATGTGAAGACTACCACCAACTCTGCCAAATGCTACACCGAACACAGTGGTACCTCTACCAGAACCACACACATTGAATATATGTAAAATGTTCAGCACTTCCACGAATACGATGCCATTAAAGAACATGAAATAAATCCCATATTATAACTGGTCTCCTAACTTGAGACAATTGCAATGTTTGTAGCCTTAACTTAAACTATCACAAAGAACTATTATCACAGTGAGTTATGGATACCAGAATGTAATCTTTTATGTCGGAAAATCCGACAGCATTTAATATATCATACAGACAGATAAGAGCTGTGTTGTATAAACAAGTTACCCATAGAAAACGTAACTTGTAGTGGAATTACCGTCTATAGAAAACGGGATATCATCACCACATACTATTATAATTCACCAGCTATTCTGCTGGGAATTGTTCTTAAATACATTAGTCTTTGGACTTTACCATCATAAAAACATCTTATATAAATTAACTTAATTATCAATATTAAAGTAGAGTAAATGTGACCCTTCTATCACTTTCTGAAATCTGGACAAAGTAGGCCAGGCGTCAGTGAGGAAGGGGGGCAGCCATTGTTGTGTCACCTCCGAGACGTGTGGAGCAAATTCGGCTCCTATCATTCTGGACAATGTCGGCCAGTAACGTCAATTGTATGGAGTGTTAAACAGCCATTGTTTATATTGAGACCAGAGGCTCACACGGGAGCAAATTCGGCTCCTGTTAATTTTACTTGGACGTAGTGTTATGGAAACCAAAGGTACCATCTCCAACACGATGTCTACAATCAAGTTAAGTGTCTATCCGAAACCCGTTTATCATTCATTTATGGCCATTAATGTCAGGATATAGGGTGACCCGGTTAGATCGCGAAATAGCCTCAAACTAAAGGTAATTAAGCCAGGTCTTCATGTTCCATGTACTGTATAGTGTTTTCTCTGATATAGCTTGTCATATATAGGATTCTGGCTTCACAGCTAGCGCACTTTTGACAGGTCAAGACGAGGAAGGATTTGTGCACCAGTTACTGGGTGATATGGAAGCTACCTCAAAGAGGATAATTTGGTGTCTACACCCTAGTTATACCTGGTGGACTAACCTGCTGTACTATAAGATAAGGAACCTCTTCAATGTATGTAGCTATTACTGTAGTTTGATTGGCTGCATATATATTAATTTAATAACCCCCCCTAATGTGTAGAGGATCGATTTGTGAGATTATGAGATTATTGCAGAAATACAGTCCACTTATCATTATACAAATTGCTATCGAAGTATATAAATTAACGTAAATATAAATTCATATAAATTAAATAAATATAAATCTCACAGGTCGGTTCCCACATTATTTGGTCCTTCGAACCGGATTATTTGGACGGAACCGGAATATTCGGTCCTATGAACCCACATTTGGTCATCTTAGTACCGGATGAACCAGTTAACCAGTGGATTCATTAAATATACTAGTGCAGTGTTATTTAAACAAAGCCAGCAGTCAAGACGGCGGCGTTGCCTCGTGGGAGCTCAGGAGCCTCCCTCAGCCCAGATCAGCTTCGTCAGCGGTTTCATGCACACCCACAGATATTTGGTGGCGTGTTATTTCGTGAAATGACAGCGCTAATATAGAATCCAGCCAAATTAGTGACTGTGTCTTCGCGTGATTGTTCACGGATTTCGTGGTGTTACATTTCGCGAGAGATTATCTACGAATTTTGTGGAGTTTATTTCGCGAGGTCACTAATAATATTTAATACTTCTAGATAATATTAGAAGTTTCATAGAGGCAAATTAAGAGGCTATTATCAATAATTGTATATATTATTTCTCCAAAATAGAGAATTATTTAATATATATTGCACTAGTGATCACAGTATAATATTTACTAATTGCCAACCCACAACAGGGTAGGATATGACTAGTTGAACTATTATTGTTCTTCCTAGTCCCATTATTACCATAGTCAGTTGTACTATATTCAACAACCTAACACCATTAATGAATGGTGCAGACCCTATTTTGGGTGTAATTTTTATCAACTCGAATTGAGTTGTATATATAATAATTTACTTATGATCATTACACCTTTGAGTGATTAATTAGTGTCTCTACCATCCTAGGGTGATATAGAAGAGCTAACCTAAAGGTACTTCCAGTGACACTGGTTTATCACTCAAATCATTAGTGTGGATGATTGTATATATATAATGTGTATTAATTTTAAGTGCTAACCTCTAGTAGAGGTAGGATTATTGCCTAGTGAGTGCAGAATTTACCCTAGGCTACCATTAGTGTTTGTTCAGTATTATGAGCAGCCCAAGTACAAGCCCCACAAGGCTTCACCAACGAGCCAGTATGGATAATGCAGGGAGAATGAAAAGAACCCTTGCAGGTCTTAAAGGCCACTTAACAAGACAGATCAAGAAATGTGAAGATTTGTCACAACAATCTCAAGTTGATTATGCTGACCTGGAAAGCTATTATCAAGCAGCTGCAGGTAAATTTGAGCAAATCAAATGCCAAATAGCAACATATGTGGCTGAACTTGCCAACACTAATTTATCAGAAACAGAAATAGACGACATTATGGTTGATCTTGCGAATTATGAAGATCACACTCAGGCCACGTTACAGCCTTATGTCAAATTAATTGCCCAGAACAAGGCAACAGCAACAACAACAACAGTTGCATCTAATACGAGTCAAGCAGAAGCTCGACTCCCTCCAATTAATTTACCCACTTTCTCAGGAAAAGATGAGGAAGATTGGGACGAATTTTGGAACAAATTCGTTGACCTTGTAGACTCAAAACAATCTTTACCAAAGAGTAGTAAATTCTCTTATTTACAAGGCCAATTATCAGGTGAGGCTAAAACAGTAGTATCCCATCTGAGATTAACTAATGACGGCTATGATCTGGCAGTAAAACTCCTCAAGGATAATTATGCTGATCCAGAAGAACATATATCACTAAAAAGTTGGCAGATGAACTACAATTAAGGCCTGTAGCCCAGATGATTCAACATCTCAGGGTTTGTAACAGATGCAGGACCTCAAGTCTACCAGGTGGTACAACCATCAGTACGGGGCAGGTACGTCTGTGAGTACAAGCCATTGTGGTGGACAAAATACCAGTAGACCTACAAGTTCAAGGTCTGAGAGCAACAGCCAAATTCCTGAGAAATAGAGGAATAAAATTGGCAGATAATATTAAGTCTGATCACCTCACCGACTTCGGTCTCCTTGTTGGGACAGACTATTGCCATCGATTCATCGGTAGCCCTACTAAATATCAGGGTATAACCATGTTAAACTCTGCAGGAGGTAAATTACTCTCAGGCCCAGTATCAAGCCTGAGGAGACCTATGCCTGCAGATAAACAATACCAGTAGAGATCTAAATTTGTCAGCTGATTATATTTCTCCAGTAGCATTATACTAAGGAGATTACAGCTGACTATACCAACAGAGGTTGATGTTAGTATCATCATTTAAAGCTGAAGATGAGTTCATGAGGCCTCAGTGGCAAATCAGTGAACAGTAGCCTAAAACAGCTACAAGTCACTGCGACCAATGTCACTGAACCCACTGCAGTCTCAGAACCATACTTTACTTTAATGATGAGCTATTCAATCCTCTGAATCAATTAATTAAATTAAACCCCAATAAATCTGATGACTGATTTGATACATTTATTATTTAATCAAGATGTATTCCATGGGCCTCAGTGTTTATATATCAGTGACCAGTTACCTGAAGAAACTTCAAGTTATATCTAATGTCACTGATCTCACTGCAGTCCCTGAATCATACTTGACTGTAGTACTTGATCACATCCAGTCTTCTGGGTTAAATAATATGTAATTAGGCTTGAATATTAGCCTTTCAAGAGTTGACAGGGAAATGAAATCGCATTAGACTTCTAACCCCTGCAACTCTAGTACGGGACATCCGTCCTGTACGAACAGACACATAAATGTGTGATTACTAACTACTAACATCAAATTAATCTAATAATTCGAAGGAGGAGTATCGGTGTTCGTCTGTTCTAATTAGGACTTCGACCCGTGAGCAGCCCCCTGGGGAATTATGTCGGAAAATCCGACACCATTTAATAATATCATACAGACAGATAAGAGCTGTGTTGTATAAACAAGTTTACCATAGAAAACGTAACTTGTAGTGGAATTACCGTCTAAAGAAAACGGGATATCATCACCACATACTATTATAGTTCACCAGCTATTCTGCTGGGAATTATTCTTAAATACATTAGTCTTTGGACTTTACCATCATAAAAACATCTTATATAAATTAACTTAATTATCAATATTAAAGTAGAGTAAATGTGACCCTTCTATCACTTTCCGTCATCTGGACAAAGTAAGCCAGGCGTCAGGGAGGAGAGGGCAGCCATTGTTGTGCCACCTCCGAGACGTGTGGAGCAAATTCGGCTCCTATCATTCTGGACAATGTCGGCCAGTAACGTCAATAGTATGGAGTGTTAAACAGCCATTGTTTATAATGAGACCAGAGGCTCACACGGGAGCAAATTCGGCTCCTGTTAAATTTACTTGGACGTAGTGTTATGGAAACCAAAGGTACCATCTCCAACACGATGTCTACAATCAAGTTAAGTGTCTATCCGA